GGGAAGAGGCAGAAAGAATAGGAAGAGACGAAGACCTTCAGGTTGGAAAAGCAAGAGTGTGTACGAGCCATCACAAGACAGCCAGAGCATAATGGGGAGCGTGTCAGGGGGTGAGACCAGAGAGTGGCTCAGGACCAGGCAGGAAGAGTCTGGATTGTATTTGAGATGCAATGAGGGGTCTAGGCAATAATCTTCAGTGGGTGCTGCTGACGACACTGATGAAAAGCTGACAGGGAACTGGCAGTGGAGGGGTCAGCAAGGGTGGCATCAAAAAAGAGGCCACCAGATAATCTGATAAAACCTCTAGATCTAGCTGTCAATTACAGGAAATACAGGGGACAGAGAGTAGAACATGTAAAATGACATCACGAGGAAGCAATCAACAAAATCCAGTCTGTGAGAAGCTCTACGAATGACCTACTTGCTTACATGATAAATAAATTGTAGGGGGTGTGGAGACAGAAGAAGAACCTAGACACTGGAAGAGACTTCAGAGTCACATCAACCAAATTCCTTGTAGAGATGGTGGTCGATTTTATAACGAAACCTTAATGAATCAAATTCCCTGTGTCCACATACCCTTTGCAATGTAATGTTGCTATTTCTCCTATCAAGAGGTGGAAACTATTCTCATCTGGCTCAACTCTAGGCTGACTTTGTGACCTGCCTTGGCCAACAGAATGCAACATAGTGATGATGTGAAAATTCTGGAGCTGACGTCTTAAGAAGCCTGTAGCTTCTTCTCTTGCTGTCTTGGAACCCTGGGACCACAAAGCTGTGAAGAAGCCCAGGCCTAGAGGATGAGAGGCCATGTGGAGGACAACCAAGACGCCCCAGCCAATATCCAGCACTAAACGCCAGCCCTGTGAAACAGCTCGCCTTGAGCCTTCCAGCCCCGCTGAGCCATCAGATGAACACAGCTGATGAGTGATCCCGAGAGAGACCTGCAGAAGGACCACCCAGATTGCCAAGCCACAGTGCTGCGCCACTACATTTTGGAATGGTTTGCCACATAGTAATAGATAACAGAAACAGAAATCTTACTATTTTTTAAAATTTATGCTACAATCAGGAATTTTGAATGCTGGATACTGGATAATCCTATATAATAAAAGGCTAATATGCAAATCAACCAAACAGCAGAACGACCGGTCGCTATGACACACACTGACCACCAGGAGGCAAATGCTCCGCAACAGCACTAAGGATGTCCGACTGAGGGTGCAGGCCGGGCTGAGGGACACCCCTCCCCCCTGAGTGCATGATTTTCGTGCACCAGGCCCCTAGTTGATAATATTATGACATAATTGTTCATTTTGTTAGGTGTGATAAAGATACTGTGGTTATGGGTGTGTTGATCCTATTTTTTAGAGATACAAGCTGAAATATTTATGGATGAAAAGAAGCCATGAGGTGATTCATTTCAAAATAATGCAAAGAGAGGTGGGAGCATGGTGGAACAAGATTGACCTTGAGTTGATAATTGTTGGAAGTAAATGATTTATGCATGGGGTTTCTTTGTACTCTTCTTTCTTGTAATGCTCATTAAACTACAGACTCTTGTATATGTTCACTATAACATTCTCTTTTGTACATGTTTGACATTTTCCACATGAAAATAAAGATGTTTGGGTGCAATCAGACGCCCCTGGAAGGGCCTACAAGGGGGTGTTATCTCCTCCCCTCGCTGTGCACTGGAAGCTTCCAGCTTCTTCACCTCTACCAGCAGGCCGGCTCTCCCCCACCAGAGTGCCCTGAGGCACCTGCTGGTCCCTGCAGCCCTGACTGTGCCAGCTCATTGGGCCCACGCCCCCTCAGGGTCTCTTTGTTCTCTAGGTCCCAAGCCTCCAGTGGGCCTCTAGGGGCTGAGCTCTGGATGCGACAGAAGAGTCCCCAGGTCAGGCCACACTCAGTCCCAGAGGAAGGCAGGGGGGGAGTTTCTGAGACAACATCATGAATCACTACATCTAATGACTTTCCAATGCAGCTGTGGCTGGACACTGAGCCATTCCCTTCTGAATGTGGCTGGAGAAATTCCCTTCTGAATGTGCCTGGGACTGATTCAGAGACACACAGGGCAGGGCCAACTCTGCTGCATAGTCCTGTGGCACCTGAGCAAGTCATGGAACCCCTCTGATCCCAGTTCTCCCATTTGAAATGGGGTTAATACCTAATCTGTTTACCTCATGTGGTGGTGGGAGGGTGAGATTAAATGAAAGATATGGAAGTGCTTTGTTAAATGCTGAGCAAATGAAGCAGCTGATCACTACACCGGGAGAAGGTGAAGGGTGGGTGGTGGCCTTGGCTTTGGATGGCCTTCTGGTGAATTTAATTTAATTTTTCCCTTCCTCTACTGCAGTGGTTCTCAAACTTCCTAATGCCATGACCCTTTAATACAGTTCCTCATGTAGTGGTGACCCCCAATTTCATTGTTACAAATTGAACATAATTAAAGCATAGTGATTAATCACAAAAACAGTATGTAATTATATATGTGTTTTCCGATGGTCTTAGGCGACCCCTGTGAAAGGGTCATTCGACCCTCAAAGGGGTCGAGACCCACAGGTTGAGAACCACTGCTCTACTGCCTTCTTGCTTTTCCCAACTAAAGTTCCATGGAGGAGATAGTGAGGAAGGGCATCAAAGATTTTGAGAGTGTAACAGTCAGGGTCCCAGAAGAAAACAGGTGTTGCACTCAGAAAGGGTTTAACTGAAAAGAGTTTAACAGGGAGACTTTACAGGAGGGAAGGGGAGCGGGAGAACCAGCAAGGGATGGCGAAGTGGCCCTGGGACTGGCAACTACAGGCAGCTGTCGGTGCAGAAGGGAACAGTGTCACTGTGGCCCCAAAAGAGCTAGAGTCGTGGAAGATGAATCATCTAACAGATGTGCCCTTAAAGACAGCCTCACAGGTAGTAGTGGGCCCGGCAGGCAGGGAGTTGGGAGATCAATACTCTGACTTCTCTCTTCTCCAGTCCTTCAGTCTCCCTTGGAGTCTCCCATTGGCTGATCAACAATCAGAGGGCAAGGAGCCTGGGTGATGTAGTCCTTACAGGTTAGCCTCTGGGGCAGAGAGCAGGGCTGAGAAAGGTGGAGCGTAGATGGGGCAGAGGGGAATTGTTTGCAAATGGAGAACAGGCGACATTGGGAAATGAGTAGAGGAAAATCCAGGTGGGAGGTGTGAGGTCAGGGTTTGAGTGGCTGTGGGTTGAAAGTCTTGGATCCAGTCAGAAGTGGAGTTGAACCTATGATTGGTGTCCCCAGGGCATGGTCAGGATTTGCAGCACAGAAGGTTCTCAACCGTGGCGAGAAGCCAGTCATCTCTTCTTTGCCAAGGAGCCTGAGCCATGGGCTCCTTTGCTCCTAGTGGAACCCTCTCAGCTTCCCAACAGCAGCTGCCCCCTGCCAGAATGGGAGTCATGCTGAGGCCACCCCAGCTGCAAACCTCACCTTCTCTTCCTACTACTGACACTCCTCACCAGTGGCGGCCACCTGGCCATCAGCGGCCTGGCTGCATGCCTACCACCCTGTGGACAGCCTCATCACTGGTGAGTGTAGGCAATGGAGGCAGAGGCCGTACCCTCCCCTGAAATCATTGCTCGCCTGGTCTGTAGTCCAGGATGCCGTGGTCTCAATTCTCAAGACAGTCATGTGGCTAAGGGATTAAATTAGAATAATAGATACAATGAATTAATCTTTTCTTTTTCCAGGCATCGTGTGACTTACTCTCTCTGCATTATCTTAATTAATCCTCACAACAATCCAGTGAAGTATGTGTTATTATCATCTCCATTTTCTCGGTGAGGAAGCTGATGCTTGGAGTGATTAAGGGGCGGGTCTGTAGTTGCACCGCTACCTGCCACGGGTCCTATTCCCACACCCATATTTCTAACAGCTACACCACTCAGTCCTACTCTCCCAGGTGGCTCCCATGGGCAGAACCAGAACCACTGGGAAGACGTGGTAAGGAGGCAGATTTCTTCTAAATAAAGACCTAAAAATCCACTTATTTGAGCTGTTCTCCAATGAAAGACAGCTCTGTTGCCGGGAGCATCTAAGTAGGCCCCAGCTGACCATTTAGCAGAACTAGACCTCCTGACCACTAAATTCCTGCCTGTTCATCTGCAAGTGTCAGAAAGGTCCCCCCTGCCCCCCCTCCTGTCACCCACCCTCTCCCCTGTGTCTGAGGCTCCGCAGACCCTGGGACTCTGGACTTCCGGGGCTGTGGAGACCCTTGGAGGTCCCAGCCTGCAGGTGCTGAGCTCAGAGCCCCACTCCCAGTGACTTACCTGGCTTGGGGCAGGGGAGTCACAGTCCTAGTTTCTATAGGTTCTAGAACCCAGGGAAGTGGAGCCAGGGCAGTCAGCTTCCCCTCAGGTGTGCTGGCTCTGCCTAACAGGACCTTTACTCACTGCCGAATCCCAGGTTCCTTCAGGGCTGCTGGACATAAACCGTACTTCATCTTTCTTCCCAACTCACCAGGACACACACACATGCATGCACGCAAACACATACAGGCACGCACGCACATAAAGGCACACACACATACAGGCACACACACATACAGGCACATACACACATGCATGCACGCACACACATATAGGCACACACACACCGGTCAACAATGATACGGAGAGATCACTGGTTAAGGTGGTTTTGCCAGTCCTTTCCACGTGCCTAAAATTTTAAAATTGTTTGAATAGATAACACATCTACATAGTTCAATAGTCAAAATCTCCCACAGGCATCGGGTGAAAAATCTCCTCTCCACCCTGTCCTCTCTTGGAAGACAGTGTTGTCAGTTTCTTGTGTCTCTTTCCAAAAGCATTTTATACACGTGCAAGCAAATTCAGGAAATGCTAACTTTGCCGTCAATTCTTCGCCGTTACCTGTTCTCTGCTTAAAAATATAGCATGTATATTGTAAATAGGATTCGTTAAAATTAATTTACATGAAGTTATCCTATGTTAACAAATGAAAGCGTCTTTTATTCTTTTTACAGCTGCTTAGAATTCCGTTGCATGGATGTGCTGGAAAGAAGCAAAAAGCAAGGCTGGCCTGTGCTTGTGATGCTTTGCGTCCGTGTCCTGGGGTCCCTCATGTGTTGCTGAAGCCGTTCCCCTTGACCCTTTCCGAGGTGAACATGGACGCCCCTCCTGCCAGCTCTGTGCAGGTGTCTTAGCTGGTGTCCAGGGTTGGTCACTTTTCCCCAAAGTACTACAACAGGACTTCATGCCTGAGCAGCTGCAGAATGTGCCCTGAAGAGCCCGCATCAGTACCTGCAGGTACTCTGGGTTTCGCCCTCTGGGTCTGAGAGCTGTGTGTGTGTGTGTGTGTGTGGTAGGGGGTAGGGATAGCGGGGCTCTGTCTTCCCTCCTCTCCTCATAGGGGACCCACCACCAACACCCAGGCCCAGACAAGAACTTAGGGTGTGACAGGCAGCTAGCTTCCAGGCCCACGGAGGTGTTGGCTGTTTACTCATGGACAGGAGGAAGGGAAAGCACAGTACCTACTCCCTTTCTGCCTTTGGGAACACATCTCACTGGAGCTGCAGGTACAGGCCTTCCCAAGGCCTTTTCCCCTGTTCCCTCCTGGGAACGGCCGGAAGAAGCTGGCAAGCTGAAGCTGGTGTGCCCTTTGGGGCCTCCTAGAGGACCAACGCTAAGCCCCTCCCAACATGGATAACTGGTACCCTAAAAAGGGGTTGGGACCAGGAGGTTCCTTGTATACTCCACCTCTCACCCAACATGCCTGCATCACTTTGGAGAAGTGAGGCTTCTCTTTAAGAGATGGAAGGAAATGGATTGCCTCGGTGATCCTTGCATGGCCCCAATAACCTGCAGCTAACTGGACATTTCCCCTCATTTCTATAGAAAACACGGCGTGGCCCGGTCTATGTGGCTCAGCAGTTGAACATTGACCCAGGAGGTCACAGTTCAATTTCCGGTTGGGACACATGCCCAGGTTGCTGGCTCAATCCCCAGTAGGGGGTGTGTAGGAGGCAGCCAATCTCTCTCTCTCATCATTGATGTTTCTGTCTCTACCTCTCCCTTCCTCTCTGAAATCAATAAAAAAATATATTTTAAATAATAATAAGAAGAAGAAAACACAGTGTGACTAGAATTTTAGTGAATAAAAAAGAAACATTTCCAGGAAAGAGAATTGGACTCTGAGACTTCGATTGTTTCCTTAATCTACACACAATCACTGAACCTTGTTTATTCCAGATGTAGGGGCAGAAGGAAATTTCTAAACAATTATGTCTTCTTCTCAAGCAAGTCCCCAGACACTGTCTCGTTTGATTCACATAAATGAGGCAGAAGGAGATATTGCTGTTGCCATTTCATAAACAAAGTAACCGACGCTCCAAGGGGCCAAGGGCACAGCCCGCAGAGGGGCAGGGTTTGGGTTAGAATGTGTCTTCTAATGGTTTCTTCCTCGGCTGCATCCTGCCTCTCAAGGAGGTGGACTGGGGATAGCGGGGAGGAAAGCTGGAAATTCCCACAACGTTTTCTGCCTGGGTGAACCAGAATCCCCACCCTCAAGCTCTTGGCCTGGGAAATGAATCTGTTGTGTCGAGTCTTTCCATATCCGGCCTGACCTGCTCTGTGCACATCTCTAAACCCACGTGTTGAGCAGGGTGCCAAGACAGTGAGGCCCTTCAGGACCCACCTGGCCCAGGTGTCTGGGATGATGGATGAGGGTCCCAGGAGGGGGTGTGCCATCCTGCCCCTCATTAGCTAGTGCTTGCATGGGCCCCGTTTTTGGTGCGGTATCAATGTTCTGTGTCATAGGCCAGAGAGCTCCTGGCTATTTACTGTGAATAATTCTGACGCCAGGCTCTAAAAATAGGCCAGAGAAATGGCCATCTCAGACCCAAACGCTTGTCCCGGGGGTGGAGTCTGTCCAGAGACACTGTCTGGTCACTCCTGTGGAGTGTTTCCCCTTAGCATGGCCTCCCCAACCACAAGCGCGCAGCCCT